ATGTGACCAAAAGTGAAAATTGGTTTGTTAATGTGGTTGCTGTAGAAGAATTATGAAGCACATGCAACTTTTCAGAAACCACTTACTTTGGTTGTGTCAAAAATATATGACCTAACCTTTATCTTCCTTTATATTGCAGAAATATGATCCAATCTAACTCCTCTCGTGCCCTCTAATCATACACTTACATGGTCCACCCACCCCACCTCCCACCCCCAAAGAATAAGAAATTGCACAATTTTTTCTATCTCAACGTGTCTGAATAACTTACGTGTATCTCAATTATTTTAATGGGTACTTAATATTCAGGAGTGAATGTAGTATTATGAGACCGGATTCATTTGATTAATCTAAGTCTTTTGATGTAGAACATATTCACTAATGTTATAACAAATTGTAGATATGAATCCATCATTAATATTATTGTTAGGGGTTTATCCATAAAACTTAGGAATTAAATTTATTAAGTATTTAATTGTGAGTATTAGCTAAAAAGAAAAAAAGTTATTCTTTTCCTATTGGCCCTATTCAAGTAAATTGATTTTCTTATAATTATTTATGAACGTCTCAAATTTAATGTGTGTCACCCTGTGTTAAAATAATGTTATAGAAACAACATGGTATATTGAAGATCATACAATTGTAAAGGCACTTTTGATATATTATCTCTCCCTATATATATAGCTTATTTATCAGTACTATTTTGATAAATACTTATCCATATTGGATATATATATATATATATATATATATATATATCATTTATATATCAATATAAATATGTATATGGAAATTATAATTTATATCTATTAAATTGATATAAACATCAAATATATATAAATTTTAGTAGGGTTTGACCATACATTTCAAATATATTTTATTTTTTCGAGAAATTTATGGAGTTGAAGTTGAATATGGAATTGTGTTTGGTTATACTTTTACGGAGAATATTTTGAATATTATTTCCTTATTCTTGAGGGTATTTAAATACAACCTCAAAAGTAAAAAGTAAGCCGAAAAACAAATTATAAATTGTTTTCTAAATTTGAAAATTTTATGGCTAAATACAAAATTTTAAATATAGTAAAAAAAAATATTTTTTTAAAAAAGTGAATAATTATTAAGATCAAACAAATCGATAATGAGTTTTTATTATTTTCAAAGGAAAATGTGGATAAGAATCTATGTGGTGGGTGTCTCTCACCCCAAAAGTTTAATAAGAATATATCCATTGATCCTTATGATTAGTTTTCTCTGTGGTGATTAACACATCTCACTTTAGATTAATTAGTACCAATTACTAATTTATAATCTCAATCAAACTTGTTGAGACTGAAACTTCAGCACAAAAAGGAATATATTTTCATGATCTTTATATTAGGTGGTTGGATTAAATCAAGAAGGTAAGAAAAAATACATATAGTATTTGTATATACAATGTATCCTATGTATGCCTAAATTGCCAATAACAACAGTAACATACTCATTGTGATTTTATAAGTGGGTTTTGAAGACGGTAGAATGTAGGGAGATTTTATCCTTATTTATGTGGAATCGAGATATTGTTTCTGAGACATTCACTCAAAAAAAAAAAGAATCGAAACAAACTATGCTTATATTGCGCCTTTTAAAAAAATTAATTTACTAAAAAAAAGGATCAGGAAAAGAACAAGGTCGGAATTAGAGTTATAATTATAGATTCGTAAGAATTTAATTGATTTGGTCAAAATTTTATATTTTTGTCAAGAACTCCACTTAGTATACATAAAGAAATTATTCAAAATCCAATAACCCATATTTCTTTTTATAGAATTCCTGATTATTAAAATTAAAATTCTAAATTCGTCAATCAAAAATAATTCTCCTAGCAATTTTTGCTAACATTCCCAAATCTTGAATTCCATTCTCTCGACAATCCACGTGCTTGCTTATCCTCTCATCAGTACTCATAAATACACATTTTAATTCATTTTATGGATGGCTAGATTCTATTATATAGTACTAATGACTCTTGAGTTTGAAAATGTTACTATTATACCAAACTTTTTTTAAAAAAAATTGAGTATTAATTATTATTGATCACGTAGCTATCCAACTTTTAATATGTTCAATAATAATAAGCAATAGTGTCAACGTTATGAGGACCAACGTTATAGCTAGCTCCTAATAATATGGGAGTAGAATTTCACATAGAGAACACACTTTTATTATGCTCCTCACGTGTGAGTCTGATTCTTTTTCATGAGTCAAATACGTGAATTTTTTTAAAAAATGAGTGGTGGTGATAGTCGATCTTATGATCACTGTCTGCTCTGATATCATATTGAAGTGAGTAAATCATTTCATCTAAAAACTCAAACTTGTAGATAAATCACATTTTTATTATGTAATTGTATTCTCAACCATTGGGACCAACATCATATATAACTTTCCTCTAAGAGTATTAGTACTATATTTTACTAAAAATAATAATTATTTTTCACTATCAATATGAGACTTTATTCGTACGTCAAATCTCTTTTCGTGATTTACATGATTCATCATCTCATGAGCTTATCTCGAGATTAATTGTCTCCCACCCTTACCCACATCAATCGAGTAGTCATGATCATCAATTTAGTGATTTCTTTTTTGTATATGTGTCTTCAAAGCTATGGATATAAAGATAGTAAATTGACATGTCACCTGTGTACGGGCAAATGTATTGACTATCAATTATCGAATTACCAAATTTGAAATTCGAAAAACCTAAACCGAATATCGAACGCCCCCTCCATAACATGCTGTAATATTATTTAAGTCAACTTCACATGATAAATTTGCAAAACTTTTGATATGTTACGTGAGTGACATTTTGTTAACGGGTCAATTTAGGTTGTAATCCAAACTGACCCATCTCTTAAACGGGTCAATTTGGATTATTTAATGAATCGATTAATTAATCAACCCGTAATCGATTAATTACTCAATGACTTCTTTTAATTATTCAAAACTTTTTTGGATGACGTTTCTTTTTTTATTGCATTTACTTAATTAACTCTCTACATTTTTCTTCTATGTAAATGAACTATTCTTTGTAAAATGTTACTAATTGGAATACAAATCATTGAAGTTGGAATTTTTATTAATTTTTTTTTAAGTTGGTAATCTACGAGACAGATTTTAGTAGCTAAGTTTTGAAATCTCCCATATTCTATGATTTTGTTGACTTTTCAGTTTAGAACAGTAGAGTTTGATAAATAATTGAACTAGATTTGTACGAATATTAGTAATGTAATATTAGTTATGAATAAATTTATGTATTAGTTATGTTGAGTATTCACAACGAATGAATAAATAATCACATTATAGAGGAAGTTATTTTTAACTTAAATTAATAAAATTATCATTTTTATTGATGTTGTTAAGCCATTCAGTCAAAACTCAAATCACTATGAAGGAAAAACTTAATTGAATATTAATAATAATGTCACGACTCAAACTAAATCGATTGTTTTTAGAGAATTTTTAGAAAAGATCAAGGAAAGTAATTGTTTACGAAAATCAAGTAATATAATGTATACTTTTAGTCTTAATACAAAATTATGAAGCATCACTTGAGTGTTACAATTAGTAAAAGAATTGAAATATTAAGTACTGGAACTGGAAATAGCCTACCTAATTATGGTCAATCTTGTCACACAATTATCAACCTCTTATAACCTATAGTTTCATATTGAACGTATTTGCTGGAAGCCAATAAAATAATTGTCAAACATATTTAAAGAAGGATATACTAATGTGTACACTTTTCGGCCAATAAAAAACAAATTTGATAAAATAAAACATCGCACTAAATTTTTGTGATTTTGATTTTTTTTTTTAATCCTCCTAGGAGGTTCCACCCCTTTTGTTTCTTTGGTGACTTGAACTCGCAACATTCAGGTTGAAAGTGAGGGGTGCTTACTATCCGAACAACTCTCTCTCATCGTGATTTTGAAGTTGATACTTGAAATTTAAAGTTTATAAGTTGAAATCTCAAAAAGTGGCTCAGAGTATTTGAAAATTTAATCAAATAATTATCTGAAAATAATTTTTTAATTTAATCCAAAAACTATGACCAAAACTTTTTTTGACAGAATAAAATCGTATGGCTTTTATTTTTTTAGTTAATTTTCTAATTTACCAAAAAAATAAAAAAATAGTCAAACCAAACATGTGCAAGTCAGATTTCTTCTCCTTTATTATAGTATTATTTTATCCTCAAAATCTCCTCTTCATTTTTTTCTCTTTCTTTCATTTCATATACTCCCTCTGTCCCAATTTATGTGACTTACTTTCCTTTTTAGTCAGTCCCAAAAAGAATGACACATTTCTATATTAAGTAATAATTTGACTATAAAATGTCTATTTTACCCTTAATGAAATGATTTACAGCCACACAAATTTCTTTCATTTATTTTGGACCACAAGTTTTAAAAGTCTTCATTTTTTTCTTAAACTCCGTACCGAGTCAAAGTACCTCACATAAAATGGGACGGAGGGAGTAAGTATTTTTCCTCCATATTTTTTTAATCCCAAAATAGTCAGTAGCGGTTTTAATTTTTGTCTCTCCTTTTGAATTAGCACTCTGTGGTGAGTATAGGTCTATAGGATAAATTCTCCATTATGTAATAATTTATAAATTATATAGGGATGAAAATTGTAGTAGATAAATTTTATGCAATAAATTTGATTTAAAAAATATTGAAGACAAATCGATTTTAAGTCATTTGTGTGATAGACCACCCTCCAAACGAGATGAGTCATCCTAATGATTCCTTCATATTAACATGGTATGTTTTTTCTTTTAAAAAAATAATAATAATAGTAGTAACTGATTTAAATATTTTATGATAATATTTATATTAATTAATACTATACTATATTTTTAGATTTTGTAAATAATTAGTATTAAATATAACAAGGAAAAATGAAAATGTATATTAAAATCAGAGTAATTTTTCTCTGTTTGCCACTGTCACCCCCACCCACCCTGACACCTTCACCGCGTTCGCAATTTCTTCTCTATAATCCCTTAACACTGACGCCAAACCCTTCTCCTTCTCACTGTCCCCACTCCCATCTTCTTCTACAATATATTTTCTTCCATTTTCCGCCATTGATTTCAACCAAGAAACCTCAATAACCAAATCCTACCAAGTTTCAACAAAGTTGTTGTTCTTCTTCTTGTTGTTGATTCAGTTCTTCGATCTCTGAAAACCATGTTGGTAACACGAACCAAATCAAAGATTTGGAATCACAACACCAATTCCCCCAAATTCTCCTGTCCTTCTTTCAAAGATATTCAAACCCTTTTCTCTGACGATTCAAATTGCAATTCACCCATCCCCAACAAAAAACCCAATATCTTCCATCGTGTACGCCGTGTTAGCGCTGTTCTTCGTGCTCTATCAGTCCGACCCGGACCCGATTTGCCCCTCAAAACCCTCCTCCCTCAACCCGAATCAAATCTCAAGGAGACCCGTAAATCGGAGCCGTTGATTCAAATCCCAGGAGCTGAGAAAAAGATAGTGATCTACTTCACAAGTCTGAGAGTAATTCGTTCTACATTTGACGATTGCAAAGCTGTTCGAACGATTCTGCGTAGCTTCCGGGTTTCGATCGACGAACGAGATGTGTCCATGGATTCTGGGTTTATGGAAGAGCTAAAGACGATATTGGGTATCCGTGAAAAGACGAAACCGTCCTTGCCGAGAGTTTTCATCGGCGGGAGGTACATTGGTGGTGCGGAGGAGATTCGGCAGCTACATGAAGCAGGTGAGCTGAAGAAGTACGTTGAAGGGCTGATTCCGGCGGATTTAAGCACGTGTGAAGTGTGTGGCGGCCATAGATTTATCCTCTGTGACGAGTGCAATGGTAGCCACAAGTATTATAGCGAGAAAGGTGGATTCAGAACTTGTACGTCTTGTAATGAGAATGGTTTGATCAGGTGCCCATCTTGTTACTATGCCCCAATTACACTATGATTAGATTAGCAAGCTCTATAACTATATTTTAGGCTAGTCAGAAAGTATAAGCTGAAAATGAAGATGAAAACTTTATACACTTCATTTTCTTCTTCTTTTTAATCTTCCATTAGCAGCTTTTTGTATGATTAATCTCACTTTCTCTTCTTCTTTTTTTCCCCTTTTTGGTGGAGGTAGAGGGAATTGGTGCATTGGGGTGTGTTTATATGCTAAGAAAGCAGTTTGATTAGATGCAAAATGTTATCTTTAGTTGATTTTTCTATGTATTTTTTTTCATAGTTTGCTTGATTACAAATATGCTGTGCCTGGGCAAATTGTTATTGATTAGGGGTAACACTCTCTGTTTAACAGAATGTTAGAGTTCTAATGTCTTGGTCATATGCATTATCTGTATATATGTGATGAAGTTAAGTTCTATTAAAATGTCTTTCTGAAAGTTGGTTAGCAATTTTGCATAAAGATAATGAGTAATGACAATCAAATCTTGCACATTGCCTCATTTTTTGGTTGGCTCTAATTCGACAACAACAAATCCCATTAGGTGGGGTCTGGGGAGGGTAGGGTGTACACAAACCTTATGCCTACCTCGTGGAGACAGAGATAGAGATGTTGTTTCCAATAAAGAAATCATTACATAGCTCGAATTCTGGTTTCTGAATACTGATTTTACTTGTGACATAATCTATTGAATGTGTTTAGCAACTTTGAGGCAGGGGCCAACCTCCTTGTATAGCCTTAGATCCCTTCCAAAATTATCTATTTCTATTTTGTTTTACCAACGATGATGCTCAGAAGAGTTTGCATATGACCGTTTATTCTGTTAGGTATTTGTTCTCTCTCTTTCTCTCACTAGCCTATGTACAAACTCTGCCATCAAAGCTTAGACAAATGGATTAAGTTGAAGTTGTTTTTCTTCTATAGTCCCAAGTTTTGGTAGATAGAGTTATCGAGTATCTATCTGTGTTGATGAAAGGTAACAGGTAACAGGCTTTTTGGCAACATTTTGATATTAAGATTGGGTGATATTCCTTCCCAACTATAGACGTTTAGTAAGAGGTAGAGAAAGCTTTGTAGCCTGAGAGTTGTGGGCTCTCCCTTGTTGCAGTAACAACTATATCTGTAGAATTATGCTTAAAGGAGAAACATTTGTTTATGGTGAAAGCATCTTTTGAATGAAAATACTGACATGTACATTCAAACTTGGGATAGGTAAAAACTGCTGGCTGTCTTTCATTGTCGCAAATGAGTTAGGTGATTTTTTTCACTTCTGCCTGAATTTTAGTAGGCAAAATTATATAGTGCATGTGCTGATGGTTGTAGCAGATAACTAGTCGAGGTACACGTAAATTGCTCGGACATTACTGTAACCCCGTCAGTGTTTGACCACTTTAGATAATCAACATGTATATATTTCACGCATCGATGATGTTGTGACATGCACCATTAACTTGAGAAAAAGAAAGAAAGAGAAGGCACATTACCAACTTCTTCTCGCCTTCTTTAACATTGTTTGCCATACCCAAACTCCTCTAATTCCTTTTTTTTTTCCCCTCCGCCTCACAGAGATAAATCATCAAACACCATTGAATCGAATAAATACGAAAAAAAGAGATGATATGAACAATAATCGAAATAGATAAAGAGGAGAAATGTGTAGGTATCTGGCCAGCCAACTTCTATTATTTCGTTAGATTTCTCCCAATTTTTCTGTGAGACAAGACCAAAGGGAAGGCCGGCCGGAGCCTGAGGAAGAGGATCAATATTTTAAAAAAAAATCTAACACGTGTCACTTAATCAAGCATTGAGATAAAAAAATATATATTATAGGTTTAAAATTTACCACTTCCCTTTCAAAAATAATCTTTTACAACTCTTTAATTCTTACTTTACACATGTTATATCGAATATTTTAGTAGGATAAACATATTGAAAATTCTTACTTTACACATGTTATATCGAATATTTTAGTAGGATAAACATATTGAAATAAGGAGTATCCTTTTGTTAAGTACGTGCCCACATACATAAACGCTCACAATTAGTTCAATTTTTTCTATTAAATATACTTTCGTTATATGCGCCACCAGTTTGGAGTCTTGTACAATTTTTGGCCCCATGTTCTATCAAGTAAGGATTTGGTAGTTAAAAGTATTTATCAAATGAATATTTTTTTTACAAGTTAGAAAGGCAAAATATGTATTAAGCCTAAACAAAATTACAGTAAAAGGGAAGCATTTGAATTTGATTGATGCGGACCGGGTCGAACTACGATTGTTTTAATAATAACCCATTCGTAGAAGTCGGAAAATCGGAAGGGACAGCCAACAACACCCCCATTGCGTCGCGCTGATCATAGCTTCGTTGTTGTTTCGATTTCTGGAAATCATGTTGCTTAGTCGAACCAAATCAAAGATTTGGATTCACAACAACAATTCTCCCAATTTCTCTTGTTCTTCTTTCAAAGATATCAACACCCTTTTCTCCGACGATTCTGATTACAATTCACCCATTTCCACCACCACCACCAAAAAACCCAATATATTCCATCGTGTCCTCCGCGTTAACGCCGTCCTCCGTGCTTTCTCAACCCGACCCGCACCCGCACCCGAATCAACAACTCCGAAATCGATTCAAATCCCAGCAGCTGAGAAGAAAATAGTGATTTACTTCACCAGCCTTAGAGTAATTCGTTCTACATTCGATGATTGCAAAGCCGTTCGATCGATTCTGTCTAGCTTTCGTGTTTCGGTTGATGAACGAGATGTGTCTATGGATGCGGGGTTCATGGAAGAGCTAAAGACGATATTGGGTACCCGTGTAAAGACGAAATTGTCCTTGCCCAGAGTTTTCATCGGCGGGAGTTACGTTGGTGGCGCGGCGGAGATTATTCAGCTGCATGAAGCCGGTGAGCTGAAGAAATACGTTGAAGGGCTGACTCCGGCGGAATTCAGCACGTGCGAAGTGTGTGGAGGTAATAGATTTGTTCTCTGTGAAGAGTGCAGTGGTAGCCAAAAGTGTTATAGCGAGAAAAGTGGATTCAGGACTTGCACGGTTTGTAATGAGAATGGTTTGATCAGGTGCCCTTCTTGTTACTACCCGATACTCTGAATGCAATCGTTAACATTGTTTTCGTTAGATTAGTCAGAAAGTATTAGCTGAAAAAGGAGGTGAAAATTTTAGTAGTAGAGGGATTGCTGAGCTTATAAAAGTAAAGAAGGCAGTTTGGTTTTTGCAAAATGCTCTCTTTAGTTGATTTTCTTTCTTGGGTGTTTGCTTTTGACATAGTTCTGTAAAGTACTAATTGAAAAGTGACTACAACTATGTGGGATAATACATGCTAATTATGCATGAATTCTGATGTTGTCCTTCGGGAAATTTCGTATATTTGATTCATCTTTTTAATTTTTGGTTGTACTGATTTTTACATATGCTATCTCTGTGTAACAATTGTTTGTGCTTGATCGTTTAGTCATATACATTAGGTTGATTCTGTATCGAAGGGTCCCTAATTGAAGTTCTTATAAAAATCCCTTTTAGAAAGTTGGTTAGTGTAAAGATAATGACACTCAAATGTTGCTCATTGATTCATCTAGACTTGTTCGATTTTGCTTGTGGGCTGTGGCCTAGCAAAAATGTGTTGTTTGGGCAGGCTAGCCTCCTTTATTAGTCCAATACCTCTTCTACATTAGCGAATTCAATTTAGACATTGTATGTTACAAGTATGGGTTCTATAATGTGTATTTAACTCATCTATACTTATTTTCAAGCATACATAGGTCAATCCCAGACATTTGGTTTGCCAATCCCTCAAATCAGTTGTTGAATCCACCATTTTCCTTTTACACTATCTATTTGCATTAGTCAATATATTCAGGTGCCATATATATTGGATGGTGTTTGTAACAAGCCTCGACTTACCTTCATTGGTTAAAAAATATTAAGTTTGTATGCTCTTCCTTCCCAACTATACACGTTTATTCAGAGGTTTAGAGTTCTCGAGCCACAGAAAGCTTTCTAGTTTGAGAGTTGTGGGCTCTCCCTTGTTGCAGTAAAAATTATATTTGTAGAATTATGCTTAAAGCCTAAAGGACAAACATATTGTTCATGGTGAATGCATCCCTTGGAAGAATATACTGATAGGTTATATGATCAGACTAAACTGCTGGCTGTCTTTCACTATCACAAATGAAAATCTTATAATGGAAGAGTAAGCTCTGGGCTTGATCACAATTGACCTAAAACATCCTACCTAATTATTTTTGCCTTGGCGGACAGCGAAAGCTGGTGTTTGAGGAAAGTGAGTTTGAAATTGATCAAGCTAAGATAGTATCAAAAGCATTTCTAGGAAGTTGGATATTGGAAGAGAGCCTACACATCTGTCTACCCTTGCTTTAAGGATCCAAGTGCAAATCTAGTTGGACTAATTCATTCTTCTTTGATGTTTGAATGACTGCCACCAGCTATCTTGGTAAATGGTAGATTACTGTCGTTCCTTAGGGTTAATTGTTTTCTTTTCTCATTGTCTGGATATTGAGGTATAGTAAAAACTTACCCGTACTCAGTATTAGACCAGACAAATCGACTTGTCACTTGAAAACTACAGTGACAATGCATTTATAAACGACATATAGGTTTTGCATTTGTTGGTTTGATATAAACACCAGGTGTTGGTAAGTATTATGTACACCACGAGGCATGTGACAGTTTTGAGGTTCAAGAAGAAGCAGTCTACATAAATTATACTGAACATTGTTCTCTTCATTGAATCACTATTACTTGTCTGTATTAACTGGAAGCACATTCATGGCCCTCCTTCTTAATGATCTTTGATGTTGTAGCAGCTAAATTGTAGCATTAAGCCATAGCTAGGTAGTTATTAATATTGTGGCATTGAAAATGTTGTAGTAATGAATTTGAATTATATACCTCAAGTGTTGCGTACACTTTACCCTCCCTCCCCAGACCCCACTTGTGGTATGTCGTTGAAGTGTACTTTAATTGGTTGTAACAAACCAACAAGAACAGTTAGATATATATTGTTGGATTAAGGGGGCCTTATATCCATTTACCTTTCAACAAGAAAGCAAGTAGCTTGTGCTATCTTTTCCTTTTTCAGTTCTTTTTGAAAAGAAACAAACTTTGCTCTGTCTTTAGTAGTAGTACTACATTTTTCATGCACTTCCTTCAATGTTGAGGACTCGTGTCCAATAAATATGCTTGGTCAAGGTCCGTTAAACTAACTCACGAGGTGAGAATTATTAAAAATTATATAAACAGAACTGACATTCCGTTCCCCGCACACTTAACTTACTAATTAGAATGTGAACAATATAATATGAAATTTCAATATCAAGGCAAAATGATAATTAAAAAAATGAGTCTCATTTTGGTACTATGATTAAAAAACGTGAATTTTGTGGCGGACTCAACTTTAAACGTTTGTTCATATAGTGAAAACTGTTCAAAACAATATAATACAAATCAAATCGCCTATTGAGAATCGATGAGCCAAATTATCTTTTGTACAAAAAAGAAGAGTTGCTCCTCCGTTTCATTTTGTACAAACACATTTTTCATTCGTTTAAAAATCAATGACATTTTTTAATAATTTAGTTATAAACTTTTTATATCATGGTTAATTATATGATTTTATATCCACGAAAATGTTTATGATATATTTCAGACCATAAACTTTTTTTAAAATATTTATAATACAGTGGACAAGTAAAATGAATCGGGAGTAACTTTTGGATGGAAGAAAGATGATCTACGAGTAGAGCTATGAGCCAAAATAGTGTACAATAAATCATAAATGTAATGTGAGCTAGCAATGAAAGATTCGATTCTTCACTTTGTAATTCTCTTTCTCTACGATATTGATGAAAGGTTTTCGGGCTCCATCGACTATTCAGTCGTATAATGACCGTGATGACTCGATTATTTCAAATAGCTCATGTTTACTAATAGTTGTTGCAGCCGTGCTACTTATTCTGATATGTGCCCTAACTCTCAGGGAAATCTCGCGTTGTATCTTACGATACAATGTGAGATTTCTGTTTGAGTCCGCGAAAGCTGAGGCCTCGCGTTTGGGTTCGAAAGAACTAGAGAAGGATGAGTTGAGGAAGATTCCAGTTACTGATCAAAGACGTATTCAAAATTTAAAGGCAACGTACATGTGATCTCCTAGAAGTAATGAGTGTACAACCTAACTAGTTGGATCCACTCTAAATCCGCCTCAATCTCTTGCTAATTATGGTAACAACAGATCAAGTTTCTTTACCACTCTTCTTTTATTGTATCCATAAACATTCTTGATTACCAATAGGTAGCTTTTCAAAATGTTCGGTGAAATTTTATTGGAATTTGAGGAAGGTAGGATATTACATCATCTTGTACTATATATTTGCAGGTTGCTATGTTCAGGAGAAATAGTTCAACCTTTTCATACTCAAAAGGCGTATAGCCACCACATGTACTTTGAGTTCTTTCACCGAAGAAACTCAAGTTTTTTCATACTAAAAAATAGGGATGGCAATGGTGCGGGCGGATGCGGGGGGTGGGGATGGGGATAGGGTGGGTTTAAGGATATGTGGGGTGGGGCGGGTTTAAGTGGGTTTTTTAAAATTAATGCGGGGCGGGGCGGGTTGCGGGTATATGTGATTTTATGTGGATTCAAATTTAATTTTAAGTTTTCACATGTTATAGGATTGATAAATTAAACATTATTTATTAAGATAACTTCTATAAATCTACTAAAATATTTAAGATAGTAAATGAAAATGGTTTGATTAAAAAATAATACAATTTCTTACATGTTTTCCAATTGACCTCTAAAAAATAAATTTTTAAGTCACTATCCTATTAAATTAGTACAACTTAATGGAAAAAAGAATTTATTTTTATGAATTTTATTTGTAGTATCAAACTTAACTAGAAAAAGAAAATATTAAAAAAGTTATGCGGGGCGGATTCATGTGGGGCGGGTCTATGCAGGGTGGGATGGGGTGGATTGAAAATGAAAAAATTGTTATGCGGGGCGGATTAAAATTTTTGCGGGTTAAGCTCAACCCACCCCACCCCACTCCATTGCCATCCCTACTCAAAAAGCGTATATCTTGCCACCACATGTATTTTGAGGTGTGGAAGATTGTTTTAGATAGATGAAAATGTACTCGCGTATAATGGTGTACTTAATATAAACCTTCCTTTTTCTAACTTTCCATACCTGGCTAATTAAATTGAATCCGGCATGAAGTAGGATTAATAAGTTTTTTTATTAGTTTCCTTTTTTCGACAAGGCTAATTAATTGAATCCTATTACAAATTGAGATTTATATATATGTGCTCTTAGTTTTATCATTAGTTCTCATTTTTCTCACGTTTTTTTTTTTACTTTTGGTCTTAGTGTTATTAAGTGCAATTTTAGATATTACAAAAACAATGTCAACATACGTTCATCCAGTTTATTGTCAAAATTCATATTTTTTTCTAATTCCAAGAGTTGAATATCATTCATTTCAATCAACAGAAAATTGAGTGGTCGATACAGAACCTATTTTCATTAGTTGGGGTTTTCCGCCCCAAGGATGTATCAAGATCAACACTGATGGCAGCTTCATGCCTAATTCGGGGTTGGCAGGGCTTGCAGGGGTCGCACGTGATGACCAGGGAAGATGGTTGGGCGGGTTCTATGGACGACTGACATGAGAGCTACGTCAAGTCTTACAGCTAAGTTATGGGCAATACACGGAGGTCTGATACTGGTGAAGAAATACAATTTGAAGAAAGTTATTATTGAGACAGATTCGAGCGAAGCCTTGAAGTGGCTATGTCTGACGGTTAACGTCTTGGAAAGTCACCCCGATTGTGTTGTTATAGAAGAATGAAAGAGTCTTATATCCGAACTTAGGGTTGTACTAATTCACAATTTGAGACAGGAAAATAACTGCGCAGATCACCTGGCGACATTGGGAAGGATACAACAAGAAGACATGGTAATAATAGATCGTCCACCACATTCCGTGCAACTTTTGCTTTGTGCGGACATGAACCACTTAGCATATCTTAGGTATCCGAGACATGTATCCTAACGAGGATCGTGAAGTTGTAAATCATTTGATAAAATCTAAAAGAATGTAATAACATATTAGCATTGAAATAGAAAAATAAATGTAAAAAGGAGGTTTGACGTCTCCTATTGATGAAATATGTTATGAAAAGATTGTCTTATTTTTCATGTTTTAAGTTTTTTATTTTTACTACTAATTATCAACAAAAAAAATATGTTTAACTTGCAACTTTATAAACTCGTAATATATATACATGAAAGAATAAGAACCAACGCACATTAAATAGTATATATTATTAGTACTAATAATAAGGACAAGAAGAGAGGGAGCTAACCCACTACTTAATTCTCCCACAAAATAATTCCTTCTGATCAAATTTGTTATAAAGAATTTCATCTCCTTATAGATCCCCTTAATCATATCAATTATGTAAAAAAAAAAAAAACTAGGCACCAACAACAAACATTACTTAAAAATTCATTTCAAATATTAGAAATTAATTAAATATCCATAAGATCACCAAGTATTTAACATTGTCTTAGATATTCATATCGTAAAAAATTCTTAAATTGCATAACGAAAATTTCAAACTTAACCCCCCCCCCCCCCCCACAAGCAGTCCCCATCCCCACCCCTACATAGATAAGGAATAATCCCACAAAAATAGCAACAACATTTGTTGGTTGGTTCACAGGTCGTCAATTCTGGGTGGGTAAAAGTTCATGGCATCAAAGTTGAGATACTGATCCATGTCTATTTCTGCAATTGACTCAGACTCATAAAAGTTGGAACTTTGTCCTCCAATCTCCTGAGTCTTTGCAAGTTCCTTCAACTCAAGTTTCAACTCTTGAGTTTGTGCTGCAATCAAGATGATGGAAGTCAAGATTTTAATCAAGTACGTTCTAGCTAGTTAGTTATAAATCTTCTTAACTTATTAGGTTCTAATGAGTAACAATTTGTATAGTTTAATGAATTTTTACGTATTAATTGATCGTGTAACAATTTCTTTGTCATTAATTATCTGTCACACCCCAAACTAAAGGAGGCGTGACCAACATGCGCTACCTTACTCAATTGAGCTAGCCACTAAGACATAATGGAAAAGGAATAATAAGGAACGACAAGTCCATCACAATAACTTGTTGAAATAAAATATCTGGACCAACAATGTCATAACAAAATCAATGACACAAAGAAAGAGACAACAAGACCTATACTCATTAATTGATAAAGAACTACAATCCGATAAGGCTGCAACTGAAATCATATACACAATAAGTCGACAAAGCTATTAAAATATATGATTTTAGTTACAGCTTTGACGATTTGTAGTTCTTTATCAGTTAAGTTGTCTTTGTTGGCTCTTTCTTTATGATATTGATTTTTTTGTGACCTCCACGATTCAATCATCTTATTGTGATGGCCTTATTGAACCTCGTGTTCCCTTTTCATTATGACTCAGTGGTAGCTCAATCGAGTAAGGTATAGAGTTCTGGTTGCGCTTCCTCTAGTTTGGGGCGTGACATTATCGCATGATAATTATAATATTATTAGTTAATTAACATTTGTATATTGTAATTCCTTCATAAGTAGAATTTGAAATAATAATAATAAAAATTTGTAGGAGAGGAGATATTAATATACCAATACGTAAATTAGATTTGTCAGTGACAATATCCAATTGTGCTTGCAACATTTTGTTCTCCAGCATCAACTTCTTTTTACTATCTTTAACATTTTCTATTTCTGATCTCGCCCAAGCTATTGTATCCTGCACCAATACATATATGAACAAGATTATTAGCATTAATTATAGTGAAACAATTAACCTATTGATATTGGAAGATCCAACAAATTCTTATACACTTTGATAATTCATTCGACATCGCTTCATCAATTTTATCTGTATATGTGTAAAAGGTAAGAAAGAAATTTTGTATATATATATAATTAGGTACGCTTAATCTAGTGTATCGAAACCAACCTTTTTATTTCACAACAAATATAGAAATAATATTTACTTATATTTTATTTTTATCAAAATTTTACTTGTGAAATTACACTTGATATGTTATTATGGGTACACCTAGCAAAATGATTAATTTAATTTATATCCAAGTAAGATCATACACTCATATGTTTGAAACGTGTGCACAAAATTTCTTATTCAATTAGCAAATGAGTTTTGAAGCGATATCATTTTGAGAAAGACTTGTTTTTTTTAAAAAAAAAAAGAATTGTGATCGTAGAGTAATTATGAATTCAAACTTCTGATCTCAAACTAAGCATTAGCATACTAGGTTCAAATTGAATTAAAAAATACTCATAAAAATAATTATATAAAAAATATGTTTGAGTAACTAGCAATTTATTATTCGATCTGTTATTGTGATGTATTTATTTTTTCAAATTTTAGAGTTGTCTAAAAGTAAATTGCATTCACCATTGAATTTTCACAAGCCTCTTAAATTTTTATATTTTCATGTGTATATATGTGCACGCGCGTGTACTATTTTCAAACCAACCAAGGTAAAAAATGAAATTAAATAATGAATTGAAACACCATTAGAATTTAAAAAATTGATGTAAATTTTTATTACCTCTAGTTCTTTGACTTTCTTTTCCAGTTCAGCTGTGTATTCAATCTTTCTGATCCTGGATCTTTGTGCTGATAGTCGGTTTGACATGATTCTATAAAGACAATTTCAAAAAATTAAATTAAATTACTAGTTTTAACACATAAAATCTTATAACAACAAAATAAAAATATTATTTATCGTACAACTAGAAAACACAATTTTCTGATAAAATTCTTTAATCGGATCATATCCATTGACCATTGGTTTGTTAAAAATCTTTTCAATTGACTTTTTATTAAAATTTCAAACATCAATTAGAAATTTATATTTTTTAGTATCTATAAAAAAAGAATTATCTGATATATATTCCAATCTTATAAAAATAAAGTAAAATCTATTTATCTCCCATATAATTAGAAAAAGAAAATCTGATCGAAATAATTGATAATTCGCACAATCAATCATTTCAATAAATTTTTCATCAAAAAATTTCAAATGATGATAAAAAAAATTCACATTTTTAAAAGCAACATGGAATGAAAAAAATCATATATGTATATAACCTTCTCGACTTTTTCAAATCTACGTTAGGATCTACATGACCATGCTTGAGTTCAAAATTCATTGCTTCTTCCAATGTTTGAACTTTATTAATTGGTTCATCTTGAGTTGGAGTTTTCAAGCACAAATCCAAATTAGTCTCATCAGATCTTTTTCGTTTCTCATCCATTTTTTCTTTAATAATTTTTGTTAAATCACTTAAGGAACAATGAATAAAAAATTCAAAAAAGAAAAATAGTTAGCAAGAAAATGAATTATAAAATATATAAACTAATATATGTATACCTCTAATTAAAGAATATTTCTTTAATTTTTTTATAAGGTTAGAAAATTATAACTAAATGTCTTTATATAGAGACTGAAAAATGATTTTTTTCACTTGGACAACCGGTCAACGCGTAAACTAGATTTCATATGATTCGAATATTTAAATTAAAAGGTAAACTAATTAATAATCACAGGAGAATAAAAGAGTTGATTTATTATATATCATTCATGAAATCATAGGATACAATTTATTAAATAAATTTACAAAAATAAAACATGGTAAATTGTACTTATTGAGAAATTCAATTAATATTATTGTGTTAAGATTAAAGTCATCAATATGGGTTAGGTCCGTTGGATTGATCTGATTCAACATGTGATTTGATAAGGTTCAGCTAAAATTTGGAGTTCAGTTCGTCGACCGAATAAAAAAAGAAAAAATTATTTAAATTTCACCAGTTTAAGAGCTAATGAATTAGATATATTTTAATTTGTAATATTACAAATCTTATCAGATTTTGGTGTGTCCAAATACATTAAGATATGTCCAGATACATATATTTCGGGATACATTGGGTCAAAGTTAGGTGTAAGGTTTTCTAGATACACTGTATCCAAGTGTGGATTCGTATGTATCTGGGATACATAACAAATCTCGTTCGCCTCTCTCGCCATCTCGCTCGTCTACCTCTCTATTTTAGTGCATAAGTTAACAAAAATAACATGTATAGGTAGGGGTGAGCCTGGTATGGTGCGGTACGATATTTCAAAGGTTCGTTCGATATCGTAATTTCGGTTTTCAGTTTATAAAACATTATACCATTGCCATACCAATTTAATTTGGAATGGTTCGATTTCAGTATTCTATGGTATGGTAAATTGATAACCATAGTTTGTTCAATTTCGACTAATATATACTCTTATAATATAGTATTATGATCCGACAATTAAAAAAAGGTCTCAATTGTATCATACTAACACATTACAAATATAAAAGTATATATTCAAAAGAAAGTACAAACAACTCCTTTTGTTAATCAATTACATTTCAATCAAAATAGAATAGTCAAAGTTTCAACTTCTAAACATTTAGTTTTCACTAATACTAGGTGCATATTTGTTAGTATTTCAATACCACTAATATATATATATATATATAACTATATACTTCGGTATGTTATTTCTAAATACTAAAAACCAAATACCATACCGAATATTTTAAAAATCAAAATGTATACCATAATATCAAAATCATGGTATTAAAAATTTCGATATGATATGATAATTTGATATATTCCACACCATGTCCATCCATATGTATATGTATATCTTCCTTAATATATGATAAGAAACTCTTAATTAGTGTTAAAATATGTAATATTTTAAAAGTATAGATAATAACAAAATATATGGTAGTGTCATAGTCCTGGCAAACGGACAGGACCGGATCAACATGACCGGTTTTACCGGAACCGGTCCTCGTTACCGGATTTCGTTACCGGAACCGGGTCTTACCGGAACCGGTTTTACCGAAATTTTCCAAAGGTTCCGTCCGGTCCCTTAGTTACTGGTTTGGACCGGACCGGAACCGGTTCTTACCGGATCATTTTGTACCGGTAATTTTTTTTTTTTTTTATTAACTTTAATTATTATATAATATTATATTATTAATTAATAAAATTATATTATTAAAAAACTTCAATTTAAAACTTTAAACTTTAAAGTTTCAATTGAATTTAAGTTTAAACTTTAAACTTTAAAGTTTCAAATTGACTTTAAATTTTAAAGTTTATAACTTTATATTGAATTTAAAGTTTAAAATTGACTTTAAAGTTTAAAGTTTAAAGTTTATATTGAATTTAAAGTTTAAATCTTAAAATTCAATTTTATATTAAAGTTTAAACTTTAAACTAATATTAAAATAGTTGAAAATTAAATTTCTAAAATGACTTGGATTAAATATAAGAGACTATTTTAAAAGAAAATCAAGGCGAATAGCCGTATATTTATTCAAATAAATAAATTCTACAATACAAATATTAGAAAGAGACAAAGAGTGCATAATCTAGGTATTGAATATTAATTATTGTACTAACAATTGAAACTCTTTTTAAAATCTTTTCGTAACTTTTGTATCATTTCAAAAGAAACATTTTTTGGAACTTGTATTTGTCGTTCTTCTTCCATTGCTTCCATACCATCATCACTATTATCACCAAATATTTCATCTATTTCGTCTTCTATTTGGCTATTTAATTGTGGTAGTCTGGTATTTCTTCTTTCGGCATTGACCCAATCTCGAAACAACACCGATATTTCCAAACTATCCTTTGCTAATGAATATCGATGATCTCCAATCATAAATCTCGCCGCACTAAAGGCTTGCTCCGAAGCGACCGATGATGCTTGAATCGCTAGCACATCTCGAACAATCCTAGCAAGGGTCGGAAATTGATTTTCACGATTCTTCCACCATACTAATATTGGAGCTTGAAGTTGTCCTTCTTCATGCCTAATCTTTTCCCGTGCCTGATTGAAATATAAATCAAAATCATTATTAGTAGATGATTCAAGCTCAAGATAATCATCCATCCAATCATCCGTATCATCGCTTCTAGGTTTACAAGATGGAGGTTCAACTATTGGAATATTTTTTTTCCATAGATTTATATGTATTATATAACTCTCTAGCTTTTATATATATACTACTTTTACAATCTTCAACACTAGGAGTTTCATCATCTCTAATTTCTAAATTTGCATAAATCTTTTCAACCATTCTTTCAACACCTTTTAATTTGTAATTTGGGTTGAAAGTAGTAGCAGTCAAATAGATTTGAGGAATAGGGAAAAAATATTTTTTGAATTTTTCAATCATAAAAGCAAGGGAATTTTCAAATCGATCTTTTCCTTTATATTTTGCAAATTCAGATGAAATAGCACAAATATTTACTAAACCAGAAGAAATAGTTGGATAATATTGACCAGAAGCAGCATTTGTTGCTTTATAAAAAACACTTAAAAATTCAATAAGTTCTTTTGTATTTTCCCAATCTTCATAGCCAATTCTCAAATTCGGTTCCGCATTATGAGCATTAAAAACTAATTGTACCGGCTCTTGATAAATATAAGCAACTTGAAGCATTTCAAATAAAGAATTCCATCTAGTGCATACTTCTTTTGGAACTTTTCTATATTCAAGTCCACATTCTTTACAACGATTTTTAAATTCTGTAAATTCTAGCTTTTATTTTAGCTTTAAAAATTCAATTACAAGCAAGTCTAATTTTTTCACAAGAAATTCCAAATTGAGAAATACCATCTTTTACTATCAAATTATACACATGTGCGGCACACTTAATATGAAAAGAATCATTATCAATTGGACAAAGTCTACATTTTAAATAATCAATTGCTTTCAAATTATTAGAAACATTATCTAAAGTGACACTCATTATTTTATCACATATTCCATAAAATTGTAAAACAAGGCCATTTTTGTTGCTATATAAGCACCGGTTTTAGTTTCTTCAACATATTTATATCCTAATATTCGTTTTTGCATGTTCCATTCATGGTCAATCCAATGGACAGTAATTGTAAAATAATCATTACCATTAGGACTACGTCCCATATCAGAAGTAATAGATAATCTACCATCATAATAAACAAATAAATAACGAAGAAAATGACAATATTCTTTTTGATATTTAAAAAGATCACTTTTAATTGTACTTCTTGGAATACCTTCATAATCTGGGTTATACAATTCCCGAATATACTGAATAAAACCAGGATGTGAAGGAAATGAAAAAGGCAAACCATAAACAACAACCATTTTAGCTAATTCTCTACGATCTTTTTCTTTACTATATGTGCGGTGTGTGCTTCGGCTAGCCGGGTTAGTCATATTTAATACACTTTGAACCATATTAGAACCTCCAGCTCCCATAGAATTTTCAGGTTGAGGTATTCCATTTCTATTAGCCCTTTCTATATCATCTAGGCGAGCAAATTCTTTATTACATTTTCTCAAATGTGTTCTTAGTCGTCCCGTTCCCCTTTGTGTACCCGTATTTACATGTTTCATGATCAATTTACATTTCGTGCAAGTAACAATAGTTTTTTCCTCATTTTGCACCAAAAATTTTCATACTAAAGATCTTTTAAGACGTACAACGGTCTTTGAAAAAGTAGGTAAAGAGGGGACTTCATCTTGTTCCGGTAATTCGGTAGCCGGACTAGTAGGGGTAGGGGTCTCATCATCTTCCTCATTTATTTCTACTTCCTCATCTAATTCTTCCTCAAAATTAGTAAAACATCTATTTAAAGTTTCATGATCTACTACATTTTCGGAATTAAATTCAATAGGTTGTGAGTCTCGTGTAAAAGAAGTTTCATCAACATGAGTATAATCATTAGTATTAATTCTAAATCTAGGAGGTGACAAATTTTTAGAATTAGAACTACTTCCTCCTCCCCTATTATTTTTTCTTTCCGACATTGGTCTTTTACCACTATATTTTTCAAAATTCATGTTCAAGTTTAAAATAATTAATATTATGAAAAACAAGCAAAGATAATATAACAAAAAAATAAAATAACTTAATTAATAAACAAATAAAAAATTAAAGTTGGAACGAATGTACCGAACGTCTACGTAAAAGTAGACGTATAACCAAAGCCGGAATTGAGAGATGCCAATTGAAGCTTCCAATTTACTTCAAATAAATCTCCGAAATTCGAACTCCAAGTCAATATCACAAAATAATAATTATGAATTTATGAGAGATTGAAAATTAAGAGATTTTATAAGATATTAATGAAATAGTTTGTGAATTTGTGATTTAAATGAAAAAATATGATATATTTATAGTGTTAACGGGTAGAGAGGGGTGGGGGGGCTGTTTGGAGCCGTTTTGGGCCCCAGCCCAACGGCTAAAAGGGCCCAACGGCTCCTTATCGTTCACAAAAAAAAAAAAAAAAAAAAAAAAACAAATTTACCGTTGAACCGGACCGGAACCGGTTCTTACCGGACCGGATCAACCGGATAAAAATCCGGGTTCAGTTTCGGTACCGGTTCCGGTCCGGTAAGACCGGTACCGGTTGAACCGGTACCTATAAGACCGGTTCAACCGGTACCGGTCTTACCGGACCGGACAAAAACCGGTCCGTTTGCCACCCTTATAGTGGAGTATGTCTAATTATGTAGTTTCTACCTAGAAATATAATTAAAAAAATAAAAAGATTACCCCGAATTAGGGGTGTCAAAATGAGCTCAAAATAATTTGAGAGTTCAGTCTCAATTCATTCAAGACTTAACCCATCATTAAAGAATCTTCAATCGAGCCAATATAATCTGCAATTTCTAACCCATTTTTTAAAAAAAATTATTTGCATTAATGTAATGTATTATCCTATATTAAAGGAAAGAATTATTTTTTTTTTAACCAAAGGATCATGAGCCATTTATTATTGGGAAAATTGTATGAAATAACAAACTATTAATTCAAATTAAATGTTATAGTCATAGTTTATTTTAATTGTAATTTGCAGCAAACATCCCATTTTTTTGCCATTTGATTTGGTATACAATTAGCCATTTTATACATTTCGGTATAAAATGCATTTGTGTTTGTGTAAAGCGAGAGAAAAATATATATACAAATACAAATACATATATTTTCGTCATATACACTTATAATTATACAAATACAGATCTTATTATACAAATTACAATGTATAAATGAATTTATACAAAACTGAACAACTTGTATAAAATTGAATGTTTGTAGCGAATTATACAAATCAAAAGTTCCATATCAAACATAAAATTTGCTAATTATACAAACTATAATTATAACATACAAATATAATTTGTATATTTATTATATATAAACGTTGCTCTTGATTATTAAACAAAAAGAGTACAGAAGGCCCAAATCAGATTGATCCAAACCCAAGATAAAACAACAACAAAAAAAAAAGGGGCAAAAAATCTAAAAACAGTAAAAAGAGGAAAGTAAACAGTCACTCTTCTCTGTCCACCAAACTTCAACAAATTCCATCTTCATCTTCTCTAATCAATCGAAGATGTTGGCAAACTATAGAACCAGTGAAGGTATAAATTACTATTTACGGTCTACTCTCTGTGGTATCTTTTGACTTGATACGATATTTAAGAAAAAAAATGAAGACTTTTAAAACTTAAGATCTAAAATAATTTAATATTTGTGTGCATGTAAACCATTTTATCAAGGTAAAATGAGAATTTTTAAAGTTAAATTATTTACGATTATAGTAAAACCACATTATTTTTAAGACGGACTAAAAAGGAAATAGTGTCACATAAAATGGAACAAAGAAAGTATTTTATATCTACTAGGATTTTTTGTCCATTTGTAACTTTTTTTATTTTTTAGAGTAAAAATTCAAAATTGTAGTTATAAAAGTGTTAAGTAATAATATGTTAAAATTATTAAGATTAAACGAGTTAAATTGAGTGGGTCATGACCCAACCCAAATTTTAGCTAATTTGAGCCCAAAATAAAGTGATTCAACCGATTTCTATTGTAACCCATTTAATGCCTCTACCCGAATGCGCCTATCAAAATACCACACGAGGCAGTTTACAAAGTAGCTGACCGTAGAGCTCCAAATTCCCGACCCGACCCGACCCGAACATTGAAGCCCATCGTCCCTTCTGCCCCTGTTCCTAAATTCAGGTACGAAATTCCCAACTCCTTTCTGTTGAAGGAACAATCTTCTTTCTCGATCTGTAAGTTTTTTCTTTATGTTTTGGTGTAAGTTTATTGCATACGTTTACTAGATTTGGCAGGGATTTTAATCGGAAAATTGCAGATCGGATGTGGAACAGTTTGATTAAATTAGTTTGGAATTAAGATTTTATTGATTGATGCTTGATCATGGTTGAGATCGACTTTAAACTTCTAAATTAATCGAAATGAAATCCAGCCGATGGATTAAGTTTGTATGAACTGAAGTAGCTTCATTGAGCTGGGGAAAAAAAGGATGTCTATGTTTTTTTCATTGATACTTGGTTTGGAATCTTCAAATCTGTTGCAAATTTAGTTGTTGGTAATGTGCTAGTGCTGCTGTTCACTAGTCAGACTTTATCATAATGATGAGAGCATATAACTCGAGAAAATCACGAATCCATTTGTTTGTTAAGATTGTATTTTCATTTTCTCATATAGTATGTATATGACACAATCTGAAGATATGATGTTAGATTGGAGGTTATGGAGGACATGACTTAGGTTAGGAGGTTAGGTGATAAAGCATTGTCATGCTTATCCTTTCATTCCGGTAGTCGTAAACTCGTACTGTTTCTCTGGTAGTTTCTTGTCCTTCAAATTTTGTTACTATCTCTTGTACTTTGGTTATCGCATTACTTTGTCATGTTTTCTATAGTATTTTGCCATGATCTTCTCTTCATTTCCGTTATGTGTTTCCTTAAGTGGAGAGTCTATCAGAAACAACCTCTCTCACTCCCAAGGTAGGGGTAAGGTCAGCGTACACTCTACCCTCCTAAATCTCACTTGTGGGATTACACCGGATATGTTGTTGTTGTTGTGTAGTAATGTATCTATAAAATCAAGAAGATGATATAACCAGCTAAATTTGTAAACTTATTTTTCCTTTACACATTAACTGGAGAAAAATCATGAATCCAACTTGTTTGGGCCTGTGACATAGTTGTTGTTTGTATTTTTTTTTCCTATTCTCTTCTTGATCATGTTCTGTTGTTGTCTATCTAGGTTGCAGGTTTTTTTCTTGTGCCGAACCTTGTGGTGTGGATTTTATTGTTCATTGATTTCTGAGGAGAGATTCATGTCGGCATCAAATGAGGATAACATCTCTCAACCACAAGTAACCCACATCTTAAATGAAACCAGAAACTTATATTTGCTGGTTATCTTGCTTAATTGCTATAGTGAATTGTATGCATCAGTTGCTTCTGAAGGCAATTAGTAGAATCTTGCTATTATTTGACTCTATTGTTTCTTCTTCGTGTGGGCAAGCATGCTTTTTCTCGTCTTTCCCAGCTTTTCTATTGATTGCATATGGTTTTTGTTTTTATGTTTACTTTACTCTTAAATTTCTGGATATAGACTGTTCCTGCCCTTATTCCCATTGATGATCAAAGGTGGGCCTCGGGGTTTGGAGGCAGGGGTGTGGCACTCCTTATTTAAGCTCAGTTCCCCTATGTTTTTTACAGTTAGAATGTCTTGTATATGGGTCAATTTACTGTATTCTACTTCAGGCTTTTCTTGTTGATATTTGACTGTTAGTCTGCTTTGTGATTCTTGTTGATATTTAACTATTAGTCTGCTTTGTGATCCATGTGCAGTTGTCCGCTCATGTTTTTGATGAGCTTCTTGATTCCATCATTACTGATGTTGCATCTGAGTGTCACCGCGTAGCGAAACTAGGCCTTGATCGTAATTTAGAAGAAGAGGAAGAAGAACTTCGGTTGTCTGCACAAGCCCGGGCAACAGTAGCTGATCCTAGCAACAGTAGTGAAACAAATGGCAAATACGTCGTAGATATATTTGGGCAAACCCATCCTCCTGTTGCAACTGAAATATTTGAATGTATGAATTGTGGCCGATCTATCATGGCTGGGCGATTTGCTCCTCACTTGGAGAAATGCATGGGAAAGGTATATTCTTTTTCTATTTCAGTCGCCAGTCTCAAATTACCTCTCATCAGTTGATCCAAATTATTTTCTATTAATACTTGTATGCACTTGGCCTCAGGGGAGGAAGGCCCGTCTTAAGGCAACAAGAAGTAGCACTGCTCAGAACCGATATACACGAGGCAGTTCTGCTTCAACCTACTCCCCTTATTCAACTCCCACCAGCACGAGTCGATTACCAAATGGAAGTTCCGGTGTTTCAGGTCATGAGTACTCAAATGGCTCCTTAGAAGACTTGTGACATGGCCTTGGATGGATGCAGTGGTGGGGGCTGATTCATCTTCAGGTGAAGGATTGAACTGAGAAGACAACCCACTGTTGTTGCATCCTATCGTGCCATAAGAGGAGCTGGTGGAAGTAGCTGTACTGGTCCGTCATACAAAGCAGATGCTGCTCATAGTATGGTTAGATAATAACTGTATGAAAACATGGGTTTCCCATACAAATGGTTTATAGTACACATTGACTTTCACAAGAGAGATGAATAGCATTAGTTTAGTAGAGATTAACAGCATTGTAAAGGAGATCTCACTGTCTGTCTCAATATTCTAGTTCAAAGCTAATGCCTTCTTTTGCAAGTTTGGGGTTCTATTCTTGGTACAATTGAACTGATAATAACATGACCCATGTAACGAAGTAAAATACTATATGCTTTGAGCCTATGACTTGATCATAACATGGCGTCATAATGTCTCCAAAACTTTGCCTAACCCCGCACCCCATCCAACACTAAGCTGACACAAAAATGGCTCAACCAGCATAGAGATTTAATTTTAGAAACAACTTCCTAGGGTTATATGTGCAGGAAATTTACCCAAATTCACTGAAGAATTATTATAACTAGAATTGTTGGGATCCTCAGTGAAGAGAACCCCTCCAAAAATTGGCGTATGCCACTATTTGCAACGCACACACGGTATTCTTTAGTAAAAGGCGAAAGAATAGTTCGCTATGTGTTCATTGCGTGGCTGCGTGAGTATAACAGAAATGAAGGAGCGCTTTATATATTCCTTCTAGCCTCTCTGTTCTTCGTATGCACTTCGATGTGGGACTTTCTACTTACCAGGTTTCATTATTAAGTACCACTAATGGGCTCTGTTATCTATTGGGCCGAGTCCAAGACTTTGAACGACCCATATTTTTGAGGAAAAATTACTTGCAAGGGTATTTTTTAATAAATAATTACTGATTTTAACAATACTTTTTATTTATTAGTATCATTTTTAGCAATACTATGTTAAAATTGCTATGTATTAAAAGTGAATTAGGTATGCAATATATATGTATTATAATTGGTTTTTTAAAATATATTATGCTTGTTTGGTAAAAAATTGACACAGTGTTTTATAAGTGTATAAAATATGTGATCCATCAATAAAACTTGTATTATATGTGAATAATAAATTGTTCTTGTAATATGTATTAAAATTGTATTATAAATGTATTAAAACTGATCAAATGAGAAAAAAATGTTATTGCTATAAATGGTAAATATTTTTTGAATGTGTATATTTATGTAAGTTTCCCTTTTGAAATATCATATTATTTATGAACTTTTTAGATCGCCATGTAAAGATTCATTTTGTGCAAATTAAAAATTACAATGATTCCAATTTTCACTATTTCTTTGTTTGGGAGACCTTCAAACATGTTTTACAATGAAATTTCATTTTTTACAAAATTTACTTATAATTATTCTATATCTTTAAGTTGGGTAAGAAAACTAAGAAATCTGTTCCATTGTCCATTTTATGAGGTTCTATTTATCCATATTAATAATGATTTTAGCATTTACTTCCTCAATTTTCAATCCTGAGTTCCTGACCACTTTTTAAAAAAATAAAAAATTGTGATACTTATTTATTTTTTATTATTTGAATCCATGGTGTATGGGCAATGGGCCTTATTGCTGCTACTGAAAATAAATGAAACAGTTGACAATGCAGTAAACCAACTCAAAGAGAGTGAGTTTAATTACTCTTCTTTTTTTTTCCTAAACAAAGAGAGGGAGTTGGCTGTTGGATTTATTGCTACTATGTGATTTAAAATAATTTAAATATAAAAGATTATCTGTCTTAATTTTCAGATTATTAATTTCACCTACTGCTGTCTGCTGAGAATTACTTATACATATCTTTTAGTAAGCAATTTGATAATATTCGTTTTTATTGTTACAATATACAAGTTAAAAAGACTACAAACGGTTTGATCCATATATAATAGTAATATAATGGCATAATATAGACAAATTTAGGAGTTAAATTTACTTGGTTTAAACTTTAGATTCTAACCATTATGAGTTTAGAATCTCAAATTCATCTAAATTTTAATAAATTTAACGTAGAACGGATTTCTCCTCGGATATGCCATATTTCTAATGACATTCTGATGGAGCTGTCCATTTGAAATTCGCGTTTGTAGTTATATTTTTTCTCCATCTGTCAACAGTATTCCCTCCGTCTCAATTTAAATATCTTACTTTTCTTTTTGATTTGCCTACAAAAATGTCATTTTTATATTTAGTAAGTTTTTCAATTTTAACATTCTACGTGACAAGTTTAATAGTACTACAACAAGATTTAAAAGACTACACACATTTTTAATTTAAGATCACGAGATTCAAAAAATCTTCATTTATTTCTGAAACTTTGTGCTCAGTCAAACTAAGACACATAAATTGAGACAGAGGAAGAGAGTATTAATAAGTAGCTAGACAGCAGAATTGTCTCTACTTTTTTCCCACTTCCATTATTTGAGTTGCTCGTTATTGATCAATTGGTCATGTCTTTACAAGATACTCAAACTTCAAACTGGTACTTCAGTGACCTCAAATTAATAACCTCACATTTCCAAAACCATGGCCTTTCAATTATTTTTTTCTTCATCTTAGTATTACTTGTTGCCTTCTTTTTCTTCTATTTTGATTGTAAATTTAACTTCTTTTCTAGTGAAATATTGAGCTCACCACCAGATGCAAATGCAGTTTTGGTACAAATCAACAAGGGACTTGATGAAGAAACTATTCAAAAGCTGCCTGTTTTCTTATTTGGTGAGACAATATGTAAGTTAGATAGTGTTCAAAGAAGTGATGAGTGCCCAATTTGTTTGGGATTATTTGGAGATGATGAAATGGTTAAGTTATTGCCTTATTGTGAACATGTATATCATGCTCAATGTATTGATAAATGGCTAATTGGTCACTCAAATTGTCCTTTATGCCGAGCTTCTCTTCATCTCAACTCATCTATTACAAGTTCAGAAGTCGTTGCATGATTGCTTCCATCAACAATGAAGAAGTATTGACCATCAAATGGAGTGTATTTTATTTCTTTTGTATTTTTACGAGTTGTACTATCCCAACTTGTAAAATCCTCTTATTGACTTGATATAAGTGCTAGTTAACTGAGTATAGCAAGTTGTCACTATATTAGATCTCTAGATTATTATATTATGATTGATTTATAGAGTTACGCGTTATTATAGGTCAACTTAACCTGATAGTTAACAAATTCTTTATAGTGTCAAACTGTCAATGCATTGAACATAAAACATAGATCAGTTTTTTTCTTTTGGCTAATTAAGAAGTAAGAAACATAGATAACTTCAAGATTCAATAGTAGGATTATAGGCAAAGTTGAAAATAAATTTAATCTTGCTACTTATGACACTTTAAATTTCTATGTGAATTTGGAGAAGGGGGAAGTAGATATTTAAATTTATCATCTTCAAAAAGACCATAGTAAGAATCCTTCGCGAAATCACAAAGAAATTAAAAGACTGAAAAAAAAAAAAAGAGAAGAAGGGATCGGAGAGTGCAGAAGAAGATGAAGATGAAGCCTTCAAATTGATACACTTTGATGTCAAACACTCGTCGATATACAATTTTTTGGGTATCAGTTGCTACAATTTGAATGAGAGAATTGCTGCATATACGTATTAGAAAGTCAAGTTGCAATGACCTACATCAGTTTGTATCTCTTCTCCTGTACTCCTGTAACCCCCATTTGTATCTCTATGATTGTGTGAAGTGGCATCTGCAAGTTTAACAAGGAAAAGGGTACAATAAATGGATCTTTCGACTTGTTCAAAGGTCACCACATAAAATTGCACAAAGCATAAATGCAGAAACCATCACCTATACGGCTATAGCCACTACAAAACTTTGCCTCGTCTTCCAGCCATTAGAATACATATGTATGGCTTAATATATCGATAGTCTTGAACTTTTCTGTAAATTTCATTGAACAAGCTGTAGTTCCAGTGTTTAAATGAAATTTACTCAACAAGTTTAAGGGACTGTTATGCATTAAGCCTATAAATGATCAGCAGACACTTCCAACTTCAAGGCCATTTTCCTGATTAAATGATGAGTAATGGGTGTTTTTGGTATGAACGGAAATATTTCCCAGAAAATGTATTTTCCGGAAATCATTTTCCAGAAGAAACTGTCTCAATATCCAACACTCTCTAAAATTTTAAAGCTATTCCAAATGAACTATCAGAGTTATACATAAGCAAGGAAAGTTGTTTTCTCCCTCTTTAATGAAATATATTTTTCATTGGTATTCTGTTGCCAGGAAATGATTTATTTTTTAGAAAACATTTTCCTAGAAATATTTTTCTTCATACCAAACAACCCAAAAGATAACACCAATAATGAAAGTTGTATGCTCAACCTCTTTTTTTAGAATCATGTCAGTAACTTATCTACCCTTATTTAAACCAGGGTGTCATAGAGGAGCCTTAATGAACTTCGTTTCTTTCAGCAACTTAATTAACCAATTCAACCAAGACAGATGAAATGAAAGAAAGAAAAAGTAACTCCGCAGCTTGCCCAAAGAAGATAAATATCATTTTCATGTCTAGAAGATATGTTCACTATGCTTTAACTACCAAATTAGCACGAATAGATATGTATCCCCATTCATTGTGGAATATAATATAATGATCCTCTTCAAAGTCTTCACACGCAAGATCAAGTAATTACCTCTATGTGTGGAATTTCACTCAAAGGCCTATCAGCAAAATAAGCATACAAAGCCCTCAATACAGCCTACAAAAAAAATTAGAAAGAGACAATCTGAAGTCATGCACATGCTTTATTGGCATGGAAAAGCGAGATATTTTAATGCTTCAGCAACATTTACCAACCTGGTGAGATACCACCACCACTGGTGCTCTTTGTCTTTCAAGCTCGATAATCACCGGCTCCAACCTGCAACATGTTGAATGTTAATTAGAACAAAATGAGAAAAATGAAGGATTCTAAATTTAATGTATTGAAAGTAACAAACCTTTCAATTTAAAGGGTTAAATAACAAACCTTTGTATGACATCAAGATAAGATTCGCCTCTAGGGTATCTATACCTCAGCTTGTCCTTTTTGCGTGACCTGTATGTATAAATAAGTAACAAGCAATTTGACATAGCCAATTGATATTTTTTTTAAAAAGAATACAGTGTTGTTCATTAGTGTATTCACTACAAGAGAATGGTGGATTCATTTCTTCTCACAAGTAAGCAACATACTGCTATGAAAACATGTGAAGAGAA